CCATGTTCTGGGCAGCCTGGAAGAGGCACAGCCCTGCCAGCACAACTCAGGGAGTGGGCAGGCAGGAGAGGAGACATTTCATAACCACAAAATGTCTGTGCAGGTGGGAAATGGGACTTGGTCCTGTGACAAAGCATCCACATGACCTGCTGGGAAGGCTCAGTCCTGCCTGCTGCTGTCCCAGTCTTTGTGCTTCTGCCTGGGAGAACCAGGCAGGGGGTGGGTGGCTGGGGCTGGGGGTGAACCATGGGCTCCCTCCCCTCCATGGGCACCGTGCCTGGGACAGCATCTCCAGCTCCTCCCCTGGCACCTCACCTTGCTGGCCCGGTACGGGTACATGGGAGCCTCTGGGACGTGGAGGCACAGCCCGATGGAGCCCAGTTTGGAGGAGATGTTGATGACAGCAGCCCTGCTGCAGCTCAGACCCTCCTTTCCTGCCTTTGCTGCCTGCTCCAGGAGTGGCAGAAATTCCTGATGCAAAGACACCAACGCTTCATTAACATGCAACAGAACCCCAATTTGAGGACCATCCTGTAGGACTCTGTCACAGACTGCAGACAAGCAGCTGGACAGACACTCCTGGCAGAAATCCAGGGGATGGGGAAAATGCCCCAAGGAGGGGTCAGGCTCCAGCCTTTCCCATCCCCAGGAAAGGAGCAAGCTGGCACAGTGAGCCTGGTGCAGGCTCCAGGTGGGGAAGAAACAAGCATGGATGATGCTGAACTTGGCTGAGCTGCTGAGCTCCTCTGGGTAGGCAGGGGAGATCCATGGAGGTGCCCTTTTTCCCATCGGGGAGCATCTTCCCAAGCAGCAGGAACATGAAATGTCCAGACATACCTTGACAACCTGGAGTGGCCCAACCACATTGGTGACAAACACATTGAGCATCTCCTGAGAGTCCAGGGAGCAAAGTGTGGCGTGGGAGCTGATGCCTGCGTTGTTGATGAGCAGGTTCAAGCCCTGGTCCTTCAGATGATACCCCACAGCCTGCATGGCCCTTTGGATGCTGGGCAAATTCACTGTGTCTGCCAGGGAAAAAGCAAAGTGAAGAATAGCTCTGATGGATCACACAGCACCCACTGGAAATTGTGCTGTGGCTGGAACCAGCACTTCTTATCCAGAAAGGATGCAGCAGGTTTAGCAGATTAGGCACATTGGAATGAGCAGCAGTTTGTCCTCACCTCTTGGTTTTGCAGCCTCAGCTGAATTAAACCTTAATTCAACTCATTTTGGGTCATGTTGGGGCTACTGGTAGGAAAAATTTGTCTGTATTTGCTCTCTGTATTCAAGGAATTTATGATTGTGCAAGGGATTCTTGGTCCTTGCACACTGAGACTCCCAAGTTTCCACAGGGAGCCATTTTTTTCTTCATGCTGTTACCCACAAGGTTTTGGAGCTGACAGATGAGCTGAGGTGAGTACAATTAATGAAAGATTTGGGATGTAACCTGCAGTATTTGGTTGCAGGCTCTGAATCTGAACTTCCCTATCCCTACTGACCAAGTTGTGGAGACAATCCCTCTCAAGCAACAAGGCAGAACTGAAACTGGGCTAACAGGGATAAGCATCCCCAGTGCCTTCCTCTTTGCTTAAGTATTGGTATAGCTTTTGAAATTCTGCCATGCTTTAATTGCAGGATTTTTCTGACTTAGGCAATAAAAGTGGTGGTTTTTTGTGTCCAGCTGTCAAGGTTGCTTGTTAGGATTTACATCCTGTCCTGGATACTCACCAACTGAAGTGGCCATAGTTTGTTTGTTTAAAAAAGTCGTCTAAATACCTTCAGAATATGAAACAGGCTGATTAGACCAACATTAAACTTTATATATTGCATTTTAATACCTCAGGTATAACACAGAGCCCTCAAAACCATGAATTTTCGCATGTATGGGCAGGTTGGTGTGCCCTTGTTCCCATGCACATTTCTGTGCCTGTTTTTTGCAGATGCCAATGTGATGAGCCTGCTGGGAGTGGAGGATTGCAGATTCCTTATTTTTTTTGCAACACTTTGGCCCCTGAGCTGTATTTCTGTTCTCATGCTTAGAAAAGAGCGATTTAGCAAAGGTTTCCAAGGCTGAAGATTTCTTTCTTGGCATATTTATACACAGATGGGCAGCAAAAATATCATTTTTCCTGGCATTTTAAACTAGCCTGATGTCTTTATGGTGGTAAGCAAGTATGTGAGAGGCATGGGACTTGTTGCTACCTTGTATTGTGCAGTGCAGACCTTTGTACAGGTGTCCTGAAACATTTGGGATAATCTGGGATTATCTGCTGGGAGGGGAAGGAGCCTTGGGATTCAAGAGGATATTGCAGGTCCAGCTGCAAGACAAATCACAGAGTGCTTTGGAGTTACTTCTTTGGATAACAATGGGATGAAGTTCAAGGTTCTGTCACTCCACCACATATGTGAGGGATCTTTTGGTCACCTGGTGAATGATTAACTGCTCTATTTGGATTAGCTGAGTTATTGCTCCAAGGCATGTGGGACCAAGACATTTTTAGTCTTTAACCACCAAATTTGCTGAAATAAAAAACTTTTGTCTCCCTGGAAGAAATAGGGGTGGGAAATAAAGAAAGATAATGAAGTGACAGATCTTACACATTTTTGAGTTATTTTTTAAACTTTTCTTTCTGAAAAGTCCATGCCTGTTATTGGTTTGAAGACAAGCCTTCCAGCTCTCTTACTTATTGTGGAGCAAGAGAGCTGGAAGCAACTTCTCTTTTTAAAAAAATATTTTGTTGCTGTTGATATTTAAGCACTTTTAAGATTATTTTGGGACTTTATTGACAGTCTGGGGCTTAGGCTGTATGTTTTAGTAAAGATTGTTCATGTAGTGACCAGCCCCTTTTATGTTGGCCACGCTCTCCCCACCAGTCACTTCCAGTTGGGGCTCACAGCAGATTTAATTTTTGTTACAGAGAAGATGTTTTACTTTAATAATCTTCTTGATAGCCAAAGAAAGATTTGCTGCCTCTTTGTAGTAAAGCCTGAATTCAAGAATGTCTTATTGTCTAAGAAATATTTAAAAAACTGAACTTGAACTGAAGTTACTTGAACTTATCAGGTGCTTTTAAACAAGTAAACAGGTAGGTAGGTATGTAGGTAGGTACTGATACTGAATAGCCTTGGTTCAGTTTTCTTAATATTGGCTCCAATGAAATACAAATATTTAGAAGTTATGGGTGCTTCCCACCTCACTTATTACAGCAATAGCAATCCTAGTGCAGGCGCTTTGCCAAAACATTTCTTTTGAATTTAGATGATCTTTTAATCCTTTATTAATAAAAGCAGCCCCCACTCTCAGACACAGGGGAATACAGGAAATTTCTGCTCTTTGAGACATTTCCTCAGCCAGGTGCTCCTTATCTCCCAAACTCTTCACCCAAACACTGTCCTCCCCAGCAAGACCCTGTCCCTGTCTAGCACCCTGGAAGCTTCTTTCCTGTGAATACTTCAACTTTGCCAACTCCAAATGCCAACCTAGCTGTTCTCCTTATGCTGTCTGGGTCTATTTGCTGCCTTTTGCTTCTCCCAAATGCTGCTGAAAGAGGTCATTTGAGTTTGGCCTACATTCATACAAGGAGGGAATGGCCAAGAGGAGACCTCCCCAGTCCAGGCTGTTGCCATCCCATGCCTCTGGGTCAGAGCATCAGCCTGGGATACCAGGCTGGGCAGATTTCTCATGTGTCATTTTTAGCTATTTTTTTCCTCCCTTTTCTACCTGAAAGAAATACCAATCATGGCCACCTGCAAGG